TTTGCCAGATTTCGTCAAGGTGATTTTAACCAAAACGAACAACCAAGCTACGGTCGACCTTCCGACGTCGATGAAGACGATCTGTCATCGTGGCGAGTAAATCGAAGAATTCTACGGAAGAGATGGCTAAGAGTTTGAAAATCGACGTCTCCGCTGCCTTTCGCCATTTGAAGAGACCCATATTCAAGAAAAACGCTGTGATTTTCCGCCTCGACAACTCAAGACCGTATGTTGCAAAACAGATCTTGCAGATGCTTAAAGAGGTGGAATGGTAAACCCTTTAGCCACCACCGTTAACTCCGGACATGGCTCCTTATTTTCATTAGTTCCGGACCCGACAGAACAAGTTAAATGATAAAATATTTTAGTTTTTACGGTCAGTCAAAACAAAATGAATACCTCACAACCTTCTATCAAAAGACACAGTTTCTGCGAAAACGCCATCAGCAAGCTTGTAGAACGGTGGGAGACAATTGTTAAAAACAATGGTGACTATTTACTTGACTAATAAATCTTGTTTTTAGTTTTCTAATCAGGCAATTAGAAAACAAGGAAAATGGTGCTGGACTGTTACAAGATATCTATCCTCCTATATTGGCACTGAATGCTGGGAAATATCCTCGGAGATGTAGAAGAGACTTGAAGCAACAGAAATGTAGTTCTACAGAAGGATGTTGAAAATATCTGAACATGTGAGCAATGACGAGGTTTTGCTTATACTTAACATCGAAAAGAGACAGTTGAAGTTTCCCATTGATCTAATACAGACACATACACACAAGTTCAACTTTTTCTTGTTATCCCCTTATAAACATTCTGATTCGGTAAAAATATTTGACAAAAGCAACATTTTGATTGGCTTAATATTTCTGTCTAGCTCCTCCCACTTAAAAAGAAAAAAAAACGTAAACAGTCGTTGCTATACGCTTCGGCGTTATTTTGTTATTGCGAACACACCAGATTCTATAGTAGTAGAATTTTGAGATGTGGCAGGGTTAAGACCAGCCACACCCAGCTTGCTAGCGATTGACACGGTGTTTAATTTGGGACAAAGACCGATCGATAGCAATCGAGACGTAAATCGATTGATTTTTTCTCAATTAAGCGAAGGAGAAAAGATTGTGATGCGCTTGGTACACGTGTCTTTATTCTCTCTTTAATAGAAACTCTGAATGGAAAGCTGTAAATCGAAACTAATCATGCCGTAAATGTTTTGCAGATATTGAGTATTGATGCCTATTGCCTCGGTCTGAGATAAAGTGTAAGACGGAGACAAATAATACAAGTATAGACATATGATCAAGGCAATTGATCTATCTAGCTAGCTAGCTATTTGAATTGTTTGATTATTTATCTATCTATTGTTTGATTATCTACTTGAACTGTTTGAGCTATCTATCTATCTATCTATCTATCTATCTATCTATCTATCTATCTGAATAGTTTGACTATCTATCTATCTATCTATCTAACTATCTATCTATCTATCTATCTATCTGAAATGTTTGATTATCTATCTATCTATCTATCTATCTAACTATCTATCTATCTATCTATCTATCTATCTATCTATCTATCTGAAATGTTTGATTATCTATCTATCTATCTATCTATCTATCTATCTATCTATCTATCTATCTATCTGAATAGTTTGACTATCTATCTATCTATCTATCTATCTATCTATCAATCTATCTGAATAGTTTGACTATCTATCTATCTATCTATCTATCTATCTGAAATGTTTGATTATCTATCTATCTATCTATCTATCTAACTATCTATCTATCTATCTATCTATCTATCTATCTATCTATCTATCAACGAATATATATATATATATATATATATATATATATATATATATATATATATATGATGGGCACGTGACTGAGTGGTTAAGACGTTCGCTTTCTGACTATGAGACCCTGGATTAATTCATTTTAAGCTATTTTAACCACTGATCTGATAAAATTGCCGTATGCAGATGTTACTTCACACATTTCTGAACGTGTTGGACGCCATGTATAGCATCCACCTGGAGGTCACTTGGTGCTGCTGTTGGAAGTGTTCAGAGAGAAATTATGAAAAAACAGACAGATCTTGAAAAGACATTTCTAAGATTTCCAAAATAAAATTATTACACATACCATATTGTTTATTTTCTGTACTAGATTTTGATATCTAATACATAACTCTCATCTTGTACTCTATTTTTTTTTCTTTTTCACGACTCGGTATCTATGCTGATAACACAAATATATACTCCTGTCTTAATAGTAAGTTTGGACGATTCGATAAACTCAAATTGGCAGCTGATTTCAAAAATGACCTACAATTTATTGTTAACTGGGTCAAGAAGTAAGTTGTTAATGATAACGTCTCAAAAACAAAATTGACCGCTTTAAACCATCTGAGAGAAGTCATTTTACTTTCCATGGGCATGGCTGATGCTAACCTCCAGAAAAGTGACTCACTACGCCTTCAGCTTTCATAAAGTGGAAAGATTATTGCTTTGGGTCCTTACCTATAACTACAGAATTAACTCTTCCAAACGCTATGTATACTACGCCTCTCAAGAGAGAGGGACGAATCAAGCCGATCTTTTCGGCTTGACGGTCGAATTCTCTGCTTTTGAGCAGAAAGGAACCCGGACGAGGTTCCGCCGAAGGGCAGAATCTCGTTCGGGGTGAATGACCTACCCGATCTCGTTTTTACGAGTTATACGGGCATATTTTTGGCTGAGCCTACGGGCTCAGGAAACCCACGATAAAAATGACCTTGTGTCGCATGCAACCCTCGTGGGGGGGGGTGGCTAGATACTGAATCAAGCCGAGCTTCTCGACTTGACGGTCGAACTCTCTGCTTCTGAGCAGAAAGGAACCCAGACGAGGCTCCGCCGAAGGGCAGAGTCTCGTTCGGAGAGGTTGACCAACCCGATTCTGTTTTTACAGTTTCTACGGGCATTTTTTGCTCGGAAAACACCCGTAAAATTGTGCCACATCTTTCCCTCGTGGGGGGAGGGGGCAAGTAAATATCGAACCGAGTCGAGCCGATAGTGGTTCACTCCAAACCAGACTGACAGTCATACTAACACCTTCCATATCTTGTATTATTATTTCGTGTAATATACCTTCGTTATTTCTACTCTTGTGTTCGTGTTGTTCTTCCTTGGTCCTAACCGGGACCATAACAGGTTATAAGTCTGTAGCAAAGAAAGTTGGTTCATTTTTGTGCTAGATAGTTTTTCTAACCGGAATCTATCTTACATATTTTAAAAGAAATCTGTTTTCTCTTTTATTTTATTTTTTTTTTTGAGGGGAGGTTGTTTTGAGAGAGAGGGTAAATTGAAAAGTTTATATTTTATTATTGAGAGAAACAAGCATTGAAAATAAAATTAATAAGCTCTGTTTATAACGGAATCGAGAAATCTGAGTATAAATAATTATATTTTAAAGGCGTACAGAGAAAACTCTGGGACTCCTGGTGACATTTTGATAAATCATTGCAGGAATTAAAATCTTAATCTTTTAACCAAACTAAAATTAACAATTTTTGAGTCAGTATTCTTTTAATTAGTGAATAAATATGAATGGGTGTCTGAATATAATATTACTGGTCGTAAAACATTGTCGTTCATCGATCAAATATTTTTCTTTTTCACAACTGTTTTCATTTTTTTATCGTTTTCATCTAGGCTCCCTTATTCAGTAGCCTTGTTTAATATAGAAGTTGATAAAAAAAACAATGGTGGCACCCATCAACTTTTGTGGAACACAACATACACATAAGCATTTTTAGACAGACACTATGTAGTGCTAATCTATCTTAAATATCTATAAGTCTACCATTCGCCCTTGCTTTAAATATTACTGCCACATCTGGACTGGTTCTGCTGGTATATAATTAGAGATTCTTGATAAAATCCAAAGAACCTGCAATGTTATTGGTCCTGACCTGGTATCTCGACTTCAGTCCCTTTCCCGCCGCCGTAACGTAGCTTTCCTTTACCTTTTCTGTAAATACTTTCATGATAATTGTTATAATAAACTTTCCCTTATGCTACATATGAGGACTAATTAGGACTTCTTAGAGACTCTGTGGTATTGTGGTAACTGTAGTAAGAATATTAAGTAAGAATGTGTTGTTTTGGTGTAAGGAATATTGGGGTAAGTTTGTGTCAGTGATTGTGGCTAGCTTAGTTTAATTATAAGACAGATGAAAACTCGCTTTCCCTATTCATTTGACATAGCTAGAGGCAACCGAAAGTTCTATGCTAACAGTTTCTTCTCTCTCACTTCTTGCTAGTGGAAATCTCTTCCGGCTTATTGCTTTCCAGTTAACTTTGATCTTTAAACATTTAAATGCAGTGCTATCTTCTGTCTTCTTAATTCCTCTTCTTTTATTGTACTCTCTCCTTAATAGTATTTTTTTTTCTTCTCATATTCTCTAAATTCAAGTAACCCCATACATCCTAGTAGCTTTATTGCCTTGCTTGGAAGTGAAATGATGTGAAACGGGTACAAAAAAGCTCTCAACCGACCTACGTTACCGAAACCTGACCAATTTTAGCATCACTAAGAATGTTTCAAACTCGTCCAAGAAAAAGCACAAAATCACTTTCAGTCAGGTGTGCCAATAAACCGATGAGATTTCGTGTGGAAATATATGCTTAGGATATTTTTTGGAGCAGCGACGCGTACATAATGGACACCTGTTGGCAAATGGAACCATTTCGCTGAAAACATCCACCGCCTGTCAGGTTCTCTCACCTCACCTAACTCTCTCTCTCTCTCTCTCTCTCTCACACACACACACACACACACAGACGCACGCACAACTGCAGACGTTTATGTGGCCTGCTTCTGCATGCGCATGTAACTTGTGTCTTTGTAAGTAATGTGATAAATTCATCGATAGCGCAAAGTCGGAGAGACTTGCAAGACGTAAATATGATGTTTTATATTATTGTATAATCATTTTAACGTTCGGATAAACCATTAGATAGATAGATAGATAGATAGATAGACAGATAGATAGATAGATAGATAGATACTAAAGCAAAAAAAACATAGATAGATAGATAGATAGATAGATAGATAGATACTAGTGTAAAACATAGATAGATAGATAGATAGATAGATATGAACACGTTGATATATATATATATATATATATATATATAGAGAGAGAGAGAGAGATGAACACGTTGAGATAGATAGATAGATACTAATGCAAAACATAAATAGATAGATAGATATGAACACGTTGATATATATATATATATATATATATATATATATATATATATATATATATATATAGATATGAACACGTTGAGATAGATAGATAGATAGATAGATAGATACTAAAGCAAAACATAGATAGATAGATAGATAGATAGATAGATATGAACACGTTGATATATATATATATATATATATATATATATATATATAGATAGATAGATAGATAGATAGATATGAAGATATGGAACACGTTGAGATAGATAGATAGATAGATAGATAGATAGATAGATAGATAGATACTAAAGCAAAACATAGATAGATAGATAGATAGATAGATAGATAGATAGATAGATAGATAGATAGATAGATAGATAGATAGATAGATATGAACTGGCTGAGATAGATAGAGAAATGTAGTCAGACTAATGCAAAAACATAGCTAGCTAGCTAGCTAGATAGATAGATCTAATCAGTTGGATGTCTGAACCGTAATACTCATAGAATGTTTCTATAAGTCGTTGCCTATTTATGATTCTCCTATCAATTCTTTTCTGGGAATATCGAAATATAATCCTAAAAATCGGATTTTCTATATCTGTCTGTAACGTCTAAATAACCGAAACGGTAGGCTAAACATTTCTTTCCTTTGGAAGCCGTTTAAATTAACGAATATCTTAGAGAATTCTTGGAGTATGGATTGTCAAATATTTGTGGATTTGAACCACAGCGGCGGATGTATTGCGACCATTGCTGGTGACTATTTTGTTAAATAGTGTTTGGGAGCTGAAAACCTGCTCTTTCTACGGGGTATCAGGTTCTTCTTGTATATAATAAAGTTTCCGTAAAGCTAAATTGGAGTTATTACTGTCTAAGCATTATTAATTCTGTGCTTTAATATAAGCACAGAATTAATAATGTCATATGACGGGATAATTATTAATAACAAGATGAATATTCTTGGTATCCTATGACTTAAATACAAAATAATGTACTCACAAATACAGCCCACACTTTACGAATGGCTTTATCTATGTAAAATATTCGTTGATTTTGGATTTTTTAACTCAAAAATGCTCAACGGTAAATGTCATGATGCCATATTTGACCTTAGATCTCTGGTTGGGACCCGGAAAGAAATGAGTGGACACCAGAAATTAAAGGAAATAATAATAATAATAATAATTCTAATAATGATAATAATATTAATAATAATAATAACCCATCAATGGCTTCGAAGCAGTGGAGGTAGACAGAAAGCCTTATTATGGCAACACAATGTCCCAATCCTCACAGACAAGAAAATCGATGAAAATAGACCAAAGATAGACATTAAAGTTTGTTTTGTTTTTGTTTTTTTAAAAATGAAACCTGTCAACTAATTGATATGACTTCCAATCGTTTTGAAAAAAAGAATTTCAAAAACTGTCCAATTATAAGCACCTGCAAATCGAAGTAACAAAAATCTGGAAACTTAAAACCACGATTTGGTATGATAAGGCTACCGAAAACCATGTGAGTAAAATTCCTGGACACATCAACATCTGAGAACTGCAAAGGATTACTTTGTGCGGAACTGCACTTATTATCCGTAAAACCATCTTCATCTAAACGAAACGTCCCAAATATGCATAGATAACTCCCCAGCAGTACCGATTTTACTCATAGACCCTACAGAGAAATTGTTAATTAGGGACTTGAAATTACTCTCTGGAAAGATGATGCTTGGCACAATAATAATAATAATAATAATAATAATAATAATAATAATAAATATTCAGAAACAATTGACCATCTTGCATCAGTTTACACGGTGATAGCAACCACCGAATGCAAAACACGGCATGACAGAGTTTGACGATATCTGCTTTGGAAAATATGCCACTTTTACGGGAAGAAAGGTGCAAAAAAACTGGTATGAACATCACCCAAAGCCGGTTACAGAGATAGGAGCTGTAATAATTTTAGTGGACTTTACGCTCAGAACAATCAAAGCTAATCGCCCCGATATAATGATCAAATACCAGAAAAAACAGAATGTGTATTTCTTATTGACATGGCAGTCCCTGTAGATTATGATGTAGTTTTGAAGGTATTCAAAATACAAGGATCTTGAAGTGAAAATCTCAGAAATGTGGTACATGAGGATATCAGTAATTCCAGTTGTAGTTGGAGTCCTCGGATTGATAGGAAAGGGCTCCGACCAGCTACAGAAGCGATGGCAAGATAAACCGCTTCATGGCCAATACTCTGCCCGTACTAAACAAGCTGACGTAGACAAAACCCATCAGTGGCTACGTAGTACAGGGTTGAAAGCTAAAACTGAAGGTTTTATCCTAGCTGCACAGAACCAATGCTTGCTAACTAGGAATTATCATGCACATATACTAAAATATTGTGTTAGCCAAAAATGCAGATTCTGTGATAAATATCCAGAAACGATTGATCATCTGGTATCAGGTTGCACTGAATATAAAACCCGGTATGACAGAGTGGGCCAATATCTGCACTGGAAAATCTGCAATTTCTACGGGAAGGAAATTGAAAGAAAATGGTATGAACACCACTCAGACCCGGTTACGGAGATAGGACCTGTTACAATTCTATGGGACTACCCAATACACACTGACAGAACAATCAAAGCCAACCGCCCAGATATTGTTGCTAAAGACCACAAACAAAAGCAGTGCCTCCTTATTGATATGGCAGTCCCTGCTGACTTTAATGTATCTTTGAAGATATTCAAAAAGCTGTCAAAATACAAGGATCTTGAAATAGAAATCTCAAAAATGTGGCATATGAGAAACTCAACAATCCCTGTTGTAGTTGGAGCCCTAGGACTTGTTGGAAAAGATTCCAGTAGACTAATTGAAGGGATTCCTGGAAGTCCATGCCTCAAAGAAATACAAATAATTGTTCTGACAAGTACATCCCACACGTTACGAAGGGCTTTATCTATGTAATTTTATTTATTTATTTTTTTATTTATTATTTATTTTTATTTTTGTTTGTCAGTGGAAAGTGTTATGATGCCATTTCTAACCTTAGATCGCTGGGCGGGACCCGGAAAGAAATGTGTAAACGCCAGAAATCTAAGAAAATAATAATAATAATAATAATAATAATAATAATAATAATAATAATAATAATAATAATGAGAATGTACCATTAGTGCTGCTAATTTCATGAGATAATTAAACACTAAATAAGATAATATGGAAATATTAAACAAATAGGCGATAAATTAAAATCTTTAAAAAATATTTCTTTGATTCTGTTATCAAATATATCTTAAGAATATTCTGAAATGTCGTCACCAGTCTCACCGGCACGGAACCTTGATGAATCATCACTAATGATATCCGCTTGAATGATTAATCTACTTCCGGTTTAATTAACTTCTGGTGCAAATTAAACCCTGTTAACGACTGCTTTACCCAATGTATCTAAACAATCCTTTTCCTCAATCTTTTTTGTCTAATGTTAAATCCATCCATTTTTTAGAAGTTAGATTAATGCAAATGTGAAAGACAGCTGTTTTTTTTGTTTTTGCTTTTTTTTGCTTTTTCTTTTTTTTTTTTTTTCATATGACCTGTTTTTTTTTGTTTTTTTTTTTCCTTCAACACAGCTGGAAATTTGGAGGTCGTTATAGAAAAATGAAAAAAAAAATCCAAATTTTATTCTAGATTTGTTTCTTTCTTTGATAACTCGTTTTATGAATCAATAGAAAAAAAAATCGAATGAAGAAAATTTCCGACGTCTTTTTAAAAAAAGAAAATGAGTAAAAAATAAAATAGACATTTCTTTTAAACAACATCAATAGGAACGACAAAAGTGATTAGTAAAAAAGACCTACATTACTAAGGCACGGAATCGATTACGAATCACTGATTAAATTCAAACGAACGATAAATTAATTACACAGACACACACACACATATATATATATATATATATATATATATATATATATATATATATATATATATATCATTAAAAACGACAGAGAAAGTACTCCGATTAAGCTTTTTATTTAATTTTCTTGTGTTCGAACAAGTGTTTTTTTTTGGGACACAGAGTGTATAGAAACTGTCGAAATGTTCTATAATTCCGACTGCTTTCGTGTATACTTTTAGATATTATCAAGGATGATTTTATTTTTTCAATTTAATTGGGTGTGTGGGTTGTATGCATATTTTTAGTGTTATAGGGATGTTTTATTTTACGAACACAGTCAGCACATTGTGGCCGTATTCGTAGTTAATATTATTAAGTGTTGGCTTTTTCTTTTTTTCATTATTAAGGCTTCTATTATTTTAAATCTTTTTTTACATGTGGATGAGGTTATTATGTTTGTATTTTCTACTAGTATGTTTCAGATGAAGTCTGGTAAGTTTGTGTGTGTGTCTAAATGGGTTCTAATAGAGCTATGGTCAGATATGTGCAACATTAGATATCTGGATAGGCATGTAGTCATGTGACTGATGTAATTATTTATGAATTCGGTTTGATCAGGAAAATAGTTCCTTAAGAGGCATTTAGACGCATAGACAATGTTCGTTTGTTGTAATTTTGACATTGCTGATGTGTTGTTATTTTTTAGGATAAGGTTAAATTTGTCTAAAGTGTCTTAAATTTTTGTAGTAGATAATTAATTTGATTTTTTTTATTCGGGTCGGTTAAACTGAAAAATTAAAATCATCCTTAGTAATGGCTAAAAGTATAGCGGAAAGCGCTCGGAATTATGGAACATTTGGACAGTTTCTACATATATATATATATATATATATATATATATATATATATATATATATATATATATATATATATATATATATATATATATACTTATACAGGTTCGAATCCTGTCAAAGGACAAATATTTTCTATAAAGATTTCTCGGACATTCAGGCCGGTAAATGTTATTTAATACTGTTTATTATAGACAGAGCATTTACTTAAATACTTGTATCTATAAAAAGAATACCAAAAATTGTAATTATGCGTTTTAAAATATTGTTTTTAATTATGATTTTTAACAATTACAATTTTGAAATTTTAAAACCTTATGTTAAAAACATTGTAGAACTTTGTTGCCAAACTCAGAATTGATTTTTTGCTATAAATTTTTATGTCAAGAGCGTCCAGAATTTAAAGTTTTTGTTGTTTATTTTCGAGTATAGTTTATCTAAATCGGGAATGTGGGTAGGAATGTTCCTTTAAATGTTGAGAAATTGAGCTATAATCATTTATGTGAAATTTAAGTCTTCTTGACAAAATTTTAGTCGTTAAATTAACATATATATTTACATTTTGTCAGAGATTGAATCTTCCAAATGACACTTAAATTGATGTATGCTTGAATTAAGATATGCTACCTAAATGCACATACAAACA